TCTTAAAGGTCTTTTCCAGCCTAAATGATTCTATGATTCTAAAGCATGGTTTAGTATATTTTTTGAATAAATCAGTAATCTATGTTGTGCAGATTAAGGATCTTAAATACATCAAATACAAGTTCAATTAATGCATGGATACTGAAAAAAGCTTAAAAGGCATCCATATTCAATAAAGCTTATGTAATTATTACCATAGGTGTATTGTAAAAAGCATGGTTTAACCAATCTCAACAAGCATTCTGTTTGGAGCAATGAATAACTCTGGAGAAGAAATTCATCAGTATAATAAGACTTTAAGTGGTGTCCAGGGCAATTCTAGAACTGGAAATATTTCTCTACACAAAGCAATGCTAATGCAGTTGGACAACACCTCGGTAGTATCATATATAAACTGACAAGGCAGAACCAAGAGTTCACCTCTGCTAATGAATGGAGGCTTTCAGGCTGCTTCAGTGGACAGGAACTCAACACTGAAGGTTGCTCATATGGTGGGATCTCACACAAAACTGGCTAAACGGAGAGACACTTCCCTCTGGAGAATTGTTTCTAAATCACATTCGCAGGATGAGTCATAGATCAAATCTGTAAACTTTACATGGCTACTTGGTGATAGATCTATATGCTTTGAAGAGCAAGATGATTTTTTTTCAGACTCTGATAGTTAAAAATCTTCTCAGATGTACTCTCAATTCTCTAACAAACCCTAACTCTGAAATCTTTCATACAGAATGCTGTTTGCAGTTGAAGGATTCTCTATGATCTAGTTCAGTTCCCTTTCTCACCTTGCTCATGATCTAAAGACAGACATAAAGAGAAAAAAGCTGAAAAGAGAAAAGGAAAGTGTTCTTGCCCTGCCTCTTGGGGGAAAGCAGCAGGAGAATGAGAGAAAGGTGATAAGGCTAGATAGCAATTAGGTTATGCATTTCTGAGGAAACAGCCTTGCAACCAAACCTATGATCAGAACCCAGAGTTCAGTCATTCTCTTACAACTGATCCTGTCAGCAGTGCCATTACAGGCCCTGAAGAGGCCAGAAAGTGAAGCGCATCAGGTGAGAGAAAAGAAACAAAATGGCTTACCAGTAAAGACAAAACCTACCATAATACATACAGACAACATACATTCTAGAAGTATCAGCAATTACATTGCTGTTGATTTTCACATCCTCACACCTCCAAATGTCTAGGCAACAGAACTCACTTCCCAAAGGGTGTGGATTCCCAGTGGCTTTCACATTTAGCAGGGTGATATAAAATCACTACCAGCGTAGTCTCTTCTCTGATTGTCAAGGTAACATTTGGAGAACAAGTCTTATGAGGAGTGGCTGAGGGAACTGGGGTTGTTTAGCCTGGAGAAAAGGAGGCTGAGGGGAGACCTCATTGCTCTCTACAACTACCTGAAAGGAGGTTGTAGTGAGGTGGGTGT